TAGAGAGGAGATAGACTTGTTTGATCTGGCGGCCCAGCTCCACGTCATGTCGGGACAATCTCCATGGAAATGAGAACCAGGGGGTGCAGAGGTGTGGTCAACAGGGCCTGTCGCACACTGTCACTTGCTGTCACTGTCTTGCGAACCCAAGTCTGATTATACTAATTAATTCTAACTATCAGAATGCACTGTTGCTACATTTTTGGCTAGAGTATGATTATCTTCGCCAAGTATAATTAGAATAATCAAGTCAAGGAGGATGAAATAGGCAAGGCATGTAGCACGACTGGGAGAGAAGAGGAATGAATATAGGATATTGGTGGGAAAGCCAGAAGGAAAGAGACCACTAGGAAGATCAAGACGTAGGTTGGTGGATATTATTGAAATGGATCTTAGAGAAATAAGTTGGGATGGTATGGACTGGATCAATATGGCTCAGGATAGGGACCAGTGGAGGGCTCTTGTGAACACGGTAATGAAACTTCGGGTTACATAAAATGCTGAGAAGTTGTTGAGTAACTGCAGAACTGACTGCTTCTGAAGAAGGGCTCAGCTCCATGAAGTTAGTTCAGTTAATTATGATTTTTATAGCTGTCCATGTATTGCGTATTTGTTTGTTTAACGAGACCTATCCGAGAATAAAATGTGTTATATATATATTATTTACAGACGCTGTATCAACGACCGTGTTTACATAGCTTCTAGCGAGGTGTTGTACGGATATAGTTTATGTTTCTGAGTGATGTATTACAATAAAGCGATTGGGGGGGGGGAAATAAACATTATATTTTTCCTTAAGAAGAAATAGAAAATTAAGCAGAGTGATTTGTAGCTTGTAGTGTCGGAGGCTGGTGAGGGCAAACTAAATGTACAGCCGGTTTAAAGAAGTTCATCATATCTTTCCAAAAAGCCTGAATGTTTAATTAAGTTCATCTATAAGTACTCACTGGTTTTGCCGCTCGCTTTAAGAGATTAGTTAGTTAGTTATTGGAGAGGGTGGGTTTCCCCATGCACTTAGACCAGTATTGGTCCATTGTGCTTCCCTCTATGATATTCTACCAGTCTCCATATCCTACCGATACTGGTGCGTACAATCAGTCCCGACCGAGCCAGCGAGTTCGGCCTCTACTGGCTTAGCGGTATCTATAATGCTTCTCCCATCTATCAGCGGCGTTAGAGACTACTGTTGGGCGGGAAATGTCCTTGAATTTGGCTCAGTGACCTCCTTTGGTGATATGAGGTTTTTTTACTTGCCGTAAAGCTACGACACGGGATCCACGGCTTAAAGTCCCTCCTGGAGGACTTGTTCACTGAATTTTTCTGAGAAGTAGTGGGTCTGGAACGGGGTCCACTCAGCCTCGTGAGGATAATTGAGGAGCTACTTCAAAGAAATAGCGGCTTCGGTCTAGAAAACTGAGATTAACGGTCGTGGGGATCCGTTGCGCTGACCACGCGACACCCTCTATCCGCTAAAGTTGGCACTAACTTCGCCGACAAGCGGCGGTCGCTCGGTCAGTATCGTTCGCTTGCGGACTACAGACCATGGAGTTTTTTTTTTTGTTTTTGTCGGTTAACTGGCCGGTCACGGTGGCCGAGCGGTCTGAGGCCTGTACTGTCTTTGCTCGTTCGGAAGCCGGGATCATGGGTTCGATTCCCACACAAGGCATGAATGTTTGGTATGTGTATGTGTTTACTCTGTGTTTTTGTTGTCCTGCGTGTAGGTAGAGGCCTTGCGACGAGCTGATCACTCGTCCAAGGAGTCCTGCCGTCTGTGAACTAATGGGGGGGGGGAACCTCAACACCGTAAGGTATAAGAGGAACGGATTAAATAAGTTAGTTAACTGACGCGTTGCAGTGTTAGAACGAAGTTCTTCCATAATCTTCGTTGGAAATGATATATGTTTACCTGTATTCAGAACGCACTCGCTAAAATCAAGGATTTTCCAGACAATATAAAACACTTACTTCAATTTTCATTCCGAATAGCTTTCAGCTACTGTTAATATTGAACACAGCCACAAAATCGCTTTAAACGGTTGTATTTGTGGAGTTGGAAGTAAAAAAATGACCGAGCAATTCACTGCCGAGCCGACACAAATCCGATGTTTCACAGTCACTGACCGGTTTGTCAAACACATGTGTCGCGATGTTAATTAACACAACACGACGAGGAAGAGTAACTCATGGAGCCCGCCCCATATCCATGCTGTCCAGTGTTTACCCAGACTCTTGTATCTCTTCAGTATTGTCCCATTTCTCTGTTTACACTGAACCTGATTGATGTGAGCTGTTTAGCAACTGCCTTCTCTCGGTTACAGAGTGACAGGCGCCGGTTGATGTAGTTCTTAGAGTTATGACGTGTTTAGCCGTCTTTATCCGTAAGAGTGCATGTTTTGTGATCCAGTTCTCATTTACACTAAACAGGCATAAGAGTGTATTGTGGCATGTTTCCTAGGTAACGCGACAAGAAATTTACCGTGGGTCTCGGATTGGACGAAGACGTTTATTGGACAATTAATTTTACACTCACGATCACAACGACTTTAATAAGGCCTTCAGACGTGTCCGCTTCACCGCTAATCTCGGTGGAGCGTCTTGGCTCTTCATTCTTCTCTACTTCTTTGTCGGATCTGAACTGTTCTTAGTTCTCGTCGGATACGAACTAACTTGGTCCTAGTCAGAGTCAAAGTCACATTGCGACTGACGGTCAGTCAGTCAGTAAGTCTTGGTGTCAAGCCCTATCTGGGGCTCATGACCAGATATTTATTACTGTTTGACAGTTACGGTCTTGTTTTTGTAGGGCGCCCTCTCTGACGAGAGGACAGGTCTGTCATTTGTATATGCTGCTGGTTCTTGCCAGCGCAGTCTTTCTCGGGTCCGAGTCTGTTGGGACTCGCGACCATATTTTACTGTCTCAGGTCTGAGACTTTCCTTTTCGTCGCCACCTACGACTCGCAGGGTCACGGTGGAGGTATTCGACCCCGCCTCCACACGGGGTTCTGACGTGGTCCTCTGAACTGTTTTCGCTTATATCCTACCTCACTCGGGATAGAGGCCAACTTGTCGAAAGGTCCAGCTTCTCTGTTAGCTGGCATATCCGTTGCCGCGTGAATTCAAGAGTTTTGTCTCTGTTGCGTAGGTAGTTTCCTAGGTAGCATACGTTCTCATTGTCCGTTGCGCAGCGATGGATGTCCTGTAGTCCGGCTATCAGGCAGCAGGTCACAGTATACAGAGATTCAAGTAAGATGAGATACGGCACGGAGAAAGCAATATGTTCTAAAGGAGCAGAGTATGAAAAATGTTGCATACTCTGTTGTGGATGATGAAATCAAGGTGAGTAACATGGGCGGGACGTGTAGCATACATCGATGTACAAGAAGTCTTCGTCCTAAACCATAAAGAAAAGAGTCCTAAGAGTAGATGGAAGAATAGTACAAGGTGAGCATACAAGAACTTAAAATATATAAAGTTGTCCCCGTGCTTAATTAGCTCTATGCCATGAAGCTATATGGGAGAGTGGAGGTATAGCTCCACCACTCTTGACCTCGGCACTAGATGGAGGTGAGTGGTCAGCTTCACGTCCCTGCCGCAGTATCCCCGGGGAAATCGGGCCCCGGTACCCATTGGACAGGAGGCTCGGTGGGCCTCAGAACCGGTCTGTGCTATGAAGAAGAGAAAAATGTTACTTTTTCCTGAAATTGAACCCAACTTCAGCGGGTAGAGGGTGTCCCTTGGTCAGCGCAACGAATCCCCACGCCATTAACTTCGCCGACAAGCGGCGGTCGCTCGGTCGGTATAGTTCGCTTGCGGACAAAAACTACGGAGTTTTTTGTTTGTTTTGTTTTTAAATTGAACCCTTGCCGTACAGCCCGTAGCCCGTCGCTTTACCGACACTTTCAGAATTATATAGGAAACTAATGAGCCTGTAGATAATTTGTCAAAATTTTGTTCAAAATACCCCGGGTTACTGTCATTGCACGTACCGGCCACATTCCACTAGTTTCAAAAACTACAGCACGGCAGAGGAGTTGTTAAATCTGTTTAAAAAATTACATGGTTTTGCAGTAAAGTCATGATGCTGACTTGAAATGTGACGACAAGGTTTTCTATTCAAAGTAACTTTCTAAAAGAAAAAATCTGCATAAGTATTTGAGGGCTAAGGTTATTGAACCCGTGAAACAGTTCTCTGAACACGGCGCAGATTCTCCTATTAAAGTATAAAAATATGAGACTTTAAACAACGACAGAAAATGTAAGATTTGAGGCTTTCACGGCGGTGACTATGAAGAAAGCAGTCTTTTGGGATTTGGCACCGTGTATAAGTGGTGTTAACCGACGTTTCGGAGGAACGTATCGCCTCCATCTTCAGGGTAGAAGAAAATATAAGAATTCTGCAAGCGAAGAGACCGTGAGAACCGGTAAAAGCAGACTTCTGCTTGCAGAATTCTTATATTTTCTTCTACCCTGAAGATGGAGGCGATACGTTCCTCCGAAACGTCGGTTAACACCACTTATACACGGTGCCAAATCCCAAAAGACTCCTTTCTTCAACGACAGAAAATGTGTGATTACATATGTGAAAATATTGCCTCAAAGCACAGAGGTCGGTATAGGCTGTCTTTTATGGACAGTATAGAAACTCCTGTATAGAGATAAAAAATTGAAGTTGTTGACTTATTTATCCTTTTGTAGTTACCATCTGTGTTCAAAGAAAACGATGTGGATAAAGAAGAGGCTCAAAGGAATAAGAATTAATGCGTTTTCCAGGAGAGAGTGTAACCTATATCGGGTAGGATTTATGGCAACAGATTCCGAGATAGAGGTACAGTGCAGCCAACTGAAATCATTTTACTGCTTCTCTCAGATTCTCGTCAGACTCCACTCTGTAGACCTTTGCTTGTTTTGTCTGTAAACATCTGACACAGATTCCTCGTTTAGTAATAACTGCAAATTTTTCATAATAATAATAATTGCAGTCTTGAATTTTTCCTCGTTTACAGATGCCTCTAGTTACAATTGCTGCAGATACCAGAGTTCGTGAGAAGAGGCTTCAGAATGTCCAGAATTTTTGCTCTCCTCAGTTGGTAAGTACTATCAGAATACCTGTCTATACAACAAAATCATTATGGTGCTGCGTGATACAATGGCAACACATTGTCCTGACGGAGCCTAGCACGTGCTGGCTGCAATAGTAATTCTGCCGGTAGGTGGATCTGCCAGCAAGTGTCTCTATCTTCAGCTTCCGCCATTTTCTTGTAAACTGCTTATTTAGTACTGCTTCTTGAAACCTGTATTTTGTATTTTTTCTAGTAATAGACGTTATGATGGAATTGTGATAGGCTAATCGGAGTCCCTGCCGGTCACGGTAGCCGAGCGGTCTAAGGCATGCACTATCTTCGCTCGTTCGGAAGCCGGGATCGTGGGTTCGAATCCCATTCAGGGCATGGATGTTTGTGTGCGTTTTTGTGTGTTTGTCTACAGGTAGAGGCCTTGCGACGAGCTGATCACTCGCCCAAGGAGTCGTACCGTATGTGTAAGATCTAGTAAACCGAAGTGAAACGGAGAGTTTCATGGAGGTAGGCCTAGGCCCAAAATTGGGGCTGTAGCGCCACAGGAAGAAAAAAAATCGGAGTCCCTGGTTATGAGCATAACTGAAATGTGCTCATTAAGTTCTGTAAGATTTACTTCTCTTGTGTGTGTAGTAGTTAATGCCTTCAACGATGAATCTAGTCAAACGTTTGACTCATTACAATTCTTATCTCTAAGTAACCTGCCTCTCCATTTTGTTGCCCCATTATGAATATGCCGTTAAATACAGGAACTACAAGTAGCTGTCGCCATACCCCAACATTTTGGAATGTTTATAGTTGTCTAGTTTCATGTTAACACAACCACCAGTTTGTTAACAGCAGTTAAGGACTTCTTTTGCTTCTGGTCCCATGTTTGTGGAGTTTTGTGTCACATTTAATTTCCATATTGCTAGAAGACATGAATGCTGTAATGCTGCTTCTGTTGTGCTTTGTGAGATGTATTATGGTTTGGGGGTCCTCTTAGGTTGGCTTCTGAGTGATTTTTTACCTGAATCTGGAAGTTTCACTTATAATGTACTCGAGTTTAATTTTGGGGAGGGAGCTTGAAAAATTAATGAATATGAAGTAGCGTTTGTAACTTATGAATGAATGAATTTATAAATAAGGGGTGGGCCTTCTCGGCCCTTGCACTCCGACCACAATGATCTATTGTGCTTCCCCTTTTGATTATCCCATCAGCAATCCTGCGCTTCGAATGAAGGGCAGGATTTTGTATGTGGGGACGTCGAAATAGTCACTTGGTTCCATAAAGTATTGACCCAAGCGACGTAATCTTAAATAAGCTAAGGCCTCACATTCACACAGGATATGTGTGTCGCTGTTTCATTTTCTTCTTGACACCTCTCACAAGTTGGACTATCACTTAGTCCCAGTTTGAAGAGGTGTCCTTTAAGGTGACAGTGTCCTGTAAGAAGTCCCACCAACTATTTGTAACGTATGCTTAGACTTACGAACCAGCAGTGCCGGTAACAAGTATGTTCCCTTCACCACTAATGCTTGCTTGTATAACATAAATTTTTCAGAAATGAACGCGCTATTAATGCTTTCCCAAATATATTACCTGAACGTGTAATTGCAAACCCTGTATTAATCCGGGCCTATCATCCATAAATACAATTCGTGAACTATTAGTTTCATAGTCTGAAGAAAAATTTCATGCAACCCCGTTCATTGGTTTAAATATTATTAAGAGGTACACGCGCACGCGCGCATGGATTTAATGGTAGCATAATGCTGTCTTCCCTCATAAAATAATAGAGGAGAGAAATGCATGTAACATATTGGTTCTAAATTCAGAGATTATGTTTTTGGACATTATCCGTCTTCTTGTCTTTATCTAAAAACCGTCCTGTTTATTTTTCAGGTTCAAAATAGAGAAGAACTGCTAGGGTTACTTACGCATTAACTTGAAGGATAATATTAAAAGGGGTCTTAGAGAAATAATCTGTGAGGATATGGACTGGACTGGCTGAGGACAAGCCAGATGACGGGGATTTATGATTTGGAACCTTCAGATTGTATAAAAGCTGGAAATTTCTTGACCAGTTGAGCAACTGTAAATTTTCAAGATAGACTTTTACTTTGAAGAAGAAACAAATATCCGCAAACCAACGTGAAAGTCTTAATACTCCGATTGTAAAAACTATCGTTTTTTCTTGCGCATTGCATCGGCCTATTATACAGCAAAATTAGTTACTGATTTCGGGCTTTCATGGTGATTATTTATGTTCGTCCTGCTCGTGGGTTGTTAAACCATGTGGTTTTTGGAAGATGTACTTCCGAAACGTCGGTAACATCTCCCATAACCGCAAGGTGTAACAGCCCGAGAACAGAATGAACAACACAATTTATGTTGTGAATGTAAGAGTCGTGTAAATTCCACCCGCCCGGGAGTTGCACAAGAGGTCGCCAGAGTCAGTGTCCTCTCTCCAGAGTTTACTGTTTCTTGGTGGAAGATTTGGACGTTGTCCAACGGCTGTGACAACCATCAGCCCAGCCGAGGAGCAGGTTCTATGCCTCACGTGACAGGGGAACGTTATGGCTGCTTGCTGTAACCCTTTACGCCAGAGGTTGAGGGCCGCGTTGTCCAATAGCCCGCAGAGCTCCTGAAATTATAGCCGACGGCTCTGCAAGTGGCACTGCGGAAGCGCGAGGAGTATTCTGCACACAGCTATTGCCAGAACATCAGGAGGTTCCGCGGTTTTTCATTTCGAACACCATCCTGGTTGCAATTTTCTTTTAAAATTAAAATTATAACCCGGAGCGTGTTTTTGCCCTGACATAATCTGTCGTCCTTAAGTACCGGGTCTACCCACTGCTGTTGCTTAGCCTTGCTCAGGGTAGATCGCGATACTGGGGTCTCGAGTTCTAATTCCGCTCTGAACTAACTAACTCTGTAGAGCTGAGCCCTTCTTGAGAAGCCACCAGTCTCTCACCTGCTCAAGAATTTCCCCATATTTTATGGAACCCGAAGGTTCGTTACCGTGTTCACAAGAGCCCCCCACTATTCCCTATCCTCAACCAGATAAATCCAGTCCATACCGCCTCGTCATATCTCTCTAAGATCCATTTTAACATTGTCCTCCCACCTACATCTAGGTCTTCCTAGTGTTTTTTTTTTTTCAGAATTCTGCTGTCATGCACATACTAAATATGTGTACGTTATTTTGAGCTGTCCTTTATAGGTAAGAGTCCTTATACTGGGATTGTACCTTTTCTATGGTTTCATACGAAATGGATGCAGGATTTACTGTTTCTGAATTAAACATTTCTCTCAATAGATCGACGACTCACTGAACTAGTAAGATATCGCTGGTTCATGTTCTGAGAACCCATTTTTCTGCTCCAGGAACGTGTATTAAAGCAGTCATTAGCTCATGACAGTTAAAGACCTTGTGAGGTTAATGGCGCAGGGAGTTCGTGGTTTCTCCGCCGGTTACACCTTTACTGCCTTGGTTGAGATGGTGCAATTCAAGATTCTTCCTTGTGACGGATTCATCAGGCTATCGTCACGGCCGATGTGTGAATGTCAGGAGAATTTTTCTACGACAAGGGAACTGAGTGAACACAGAAGATACAAGTCCTTTTCTCATTTTATATTTCTTTATGTCCGGTCTAGAAAACGGAAATTAAAGTCCGTGGGGATTCGTTGCGCTGACCACGCGGCACCCTCTATCCGCTAAACTTGGCACTAACTTCGCCGACAAGCGGCGGTCGCTCGGTGGGTATAGTTCGCTTGCGGACTAAAACCACGGAGTTTCCGTCAGGACATACTTTTTATAAATGAGAGTAAGAAGAATGCGAACAGAGTTCGAGCAGAACTTAAGAATATGGCGGACCTTACGGTAAACGCTGGGTTTGAGTGGCTTTCGAGGGAAAGCAGTCGGCAGTACAGTTCATGCATTGATCTGACTTAGGACATATGAATTCCTGTCTTTCTCATATTGGCACTTATACTTTAACTTTAATTGCAGAACCTAGAAGCCACAAAACCTTTGCTGACAGACGGCGTATTCGTATATATTACTTTTGCGTGTTTTGTCAAGCTCAAAGTAAATACTTACTGTAAGATTCGTTGTTTTGAAGAGATATATTTCGTACATAGCACGGGAGAGTTATATTGAGATAGAACGAGGTGAGCACTTAATTTTAAATTTAATTTTTAATTCCTTCGGGTGGGGTGAGACTGAGTCAACATGGTGCTTCGACCACTATTTGGCCTGTCGTACCAACCTCCTATGATAAGTGATCTTGATGATTTTGGAGGAGTCAGTGGAATGAGAATTGGCAGGGGAAATCGAAGTGCTCGGAGAGAACCTGCTCCAGTGCCACTTTGTCCACAAGAAATCCCATATGACCTGATCCTGGGATCGAACCCGGGCCGTCGCAGTGGGAAGCCGATGTCTAACCGCCTGAGTCATGGCATGGATCAACTAAGCAGTTAACCTATACAGATTTGAGCATCTTGGAATAAGGTCACGATGACATTCATGCAGATCTGTAAGTTTAAATATACGCGTAATCTTTAAACCCTTCTGAATACAGTGATCTGCGTTTATAAGCATTGCATTCTGCTGGCTCATGTTAAGTTGTACCTCTATCGTGGTGGCAGACCTCGAAATTACATATTACCGGATAATCAGCTGTATAGTGTCATACCAACTGCACCCTCAAGCCAAACCATATTCTGTTGAAATTGGGTTACAGCAGAGCTCACAGTTTGTGTGAATGTTAATGGATCTGAGGTCGATACCTGTGTAGCCTTATAATCTGCTTTGTACACAAAGGAATGGAAGCCTAAATATACCGTCCCATGTCTGCAGTTCTCTGATGGCAACGCCTGTAAGTTAGCCTTAACTTAATGCATCAGAATGTTCGAAGCGAACCGTGGCTGAGTGTATTTGGGTTTTATGTTACGTGTATATCAGATTCGCTAAAATATCTGGTGCAAGTTACAGCCTGCTGCTTATACATCGCGCTAGCAAGTTGCATGT